GAGTCCTTCCCGGGGCTCGGGCTTCGTACTGGGCCTGGCCCGGCGGTGCGGCCTCCCCTACCGGCCGCGGCCCCCGGGCGCCTCTGTGTGCGGCAGTCCCGTTCGTTTATCTGTTTTTTGCTTCTTTTGCCGTTTTGTGTCGCTGCTGGTCGTGTGCCTCCTGGCCGCGCCGCCCGGGTCTCCCTTTCCCTGAGCTGCCCCCGAGGGGTGGCTGGAATACGGGAGCCGCTCTCTGGTTGCTTCCCCTGGGACCTGTCGCCCTCCTGCTGCGTCCCCTGTCCCTGGGAGAGCGGCCTCGGCCGCCTCGAGAGCGGGTGCCCGGCTCGACCCCCGAGCAAGCCCAGCCGCTGGCTTTCCGAGGGGGCCATGGAGCCGTGCGGAGGCCCCCGGCCCGTCGGCCTCCACTTCGGCGTGGTGCTAACGGATAAATCTCTGCGCCCCCTGGGAATCCGGGCTGCGTGAAGGGAAGCTGCGGCAGTGGCTCTTCAGGGGTGTCTTTGAGGACCTTGCTTTTATTTTTCTTGGCTCTTTGCCTTGTTCATGCGTATGCATCCACAAAGGGGGTGGCGGGAGTTGTGTTTTGCCACCTCTTCCAGCCAGTTTAGTTCCCTTCCAGAGCGATAGAGGTGGGACAGAGTGAGCCTTTGGCTTTGGATTGATGTGGCCTTGCAGTGTTAGTTTGGCAAGAGCAAGTTATGCTCATTTTGTACCCATTTAGCTCTCAGATGAGTGTAACTGTTTCCTGTCAAGGTGGTAAAACGAAATAACGTGGGGAAAAAGTGCTGCTAAGGGGGATCTGTTGCCTGCCGAGGGGTGCAGAGTGATAAAAGCCAGTTTGTAGAGTGCTGAGGACCCCCTTTCACCCTCTGTGCATCTGCTTTGGGTCTTTACTTTTGAGCAGTGCTCTGCTCCTTTGCTCTGAATGCACCTGATAGTGGCAGAGCGTCTGCTGCTTTTGTGCCATGCAGTTTGTGCACGCTGTGCCAGCATGCAGCGATATCTTGTGGCCTGTTCCTCCGTGAAACTGAGCCATGCAGCTCTTACGAGGTCCAAGCAGGAATTGTATCTAGTTTATGGATGGAATATTGAAGTCATGTGGGAAAAGAAGTGAGCTTGTTGGATTTTGCTGCCTTGATTTCAAGTATTTTGATGATAACTTGGTTCATGGAGCACATTTGTTGGATGTGAAAACTGCTGTGCAGAGTGATGCTCTTCTCTCCGTGCATGTGAAATAGCTGATTGCCTGCAAGGATGTGAATTATACTGTAATTTATATAGGTTTTTAATAGTTTTTTTCATGATCACGGAGTGTGGCAGCAATTGGGAGTACTTGTAGTGCTCTGAGGTGAATAACTTCCATTTGTTGATCACGTTGCTTTAAGTGACTGTTTAATAGTTTTTTTTTCATGATTACGGAGTGTGGCAGCAATTGGGAGTGCTTGTAGTGCTTTGAGGTGGATAACTTCCATTCGTTGATCACGTTGCTTTAAGTGACTGTTTGGCGTAAGGCTTGAGGATGTTAGGAGAAGCTAGACTCCTTTCTCTGAGTGGAGGGATTACGTAGGATTTTCCTGAATTTACGGCATAAAAGATCAATAAGTGATGATGACTAGAATCTGCTGAGTTTCAGAATTTGTGGCTATCCTGTGTCTTCCTTGCTGACCCAATGGCATCAAGCATATCTGCGTTCACATGGGGAATGGTTGCCTAAAGGTTAGCTATGGAAGAAGCTACTGCAAGCTACTGTTCCACTTGACATTCAAGGACGTATGTGATTCAGAATCCTCACTATTGCAACGCTTGGAAAGTAAAAGTGAGATAAAATATATGTGGCATTTCATTTTTATAGGTTCCAAGAAGGTGTCGCAGTACTTGACCTGTTCGGTGCCCATCTTGACTTGATTGGACTGGAATCAGTTCAGTTTCACAGGAGAGGAGAAAAAAAAAAAGCATTTATAAGGAATATGGATGGTTCTTGTTTAAGAACAAATTTCTAGGAACTAGAAAAAAATGGTTTTGGTTCCGAATTCTAGACTACAGAATTCTCAACCAAGTATATCAAAAGAAGTTGGATTCTTTTCTGAGCACTTCGAAAAATCGGTCATGTCCATCGCTCATGTCGGATAGTGCCATCCTTTTAAGGTGCTGATAATGTTCAAGTAGCAAGAGGAAATAAAAAAGTTTATTAACGAGCAAATGAGCTTTAATCCAACTTCTGTGATTCCAACTGGCGTATTTGGCATCTAGTTAATATAGGTGTAGGCTCCTGTTGCCTCAGTAGGCCAGATAATGTTCAGCCCTTTTATAGGGAGAGCCCTGGGTGTATTTTGTTGAACTAGTTTTCAAATAAAAAGGGAATGTGAGCGTATGTAAGGTATTTTATGTGGTTGGAACAGGATTGTATCAGTGCAGCAGGTAATTTGTGAAGTAAGCTACACAAGGGTGTTGATAGCGTGTATGATGTATCAGGAAACATTTCAGCCTTATTTTAACTTAAAATTAGATTGTATCTTCCAAAATAGGTATAGCAATGGTGCTTCTGGGTGTTTTAGAACTTCAGACTGTAGTGTTTGACTAGAAAAGGTAATTTAAAAGTAAGATGGCTTATTGTGGTGTTTTGTAGGTACATACTTGCATGGAAGAAATGAACCTTTAGTGTATTAAGGATGTTACGTGCGATATGCACAAGCATGTATAGGGACTCTTTTAGTTTGAAACAAAATAACCATTCCTCTTTTTTTTTTTTCCTTTCTTTTTCTTGGCAGATATCTGCAGAGCAATTGAGTTGCTGGAGAAATTGCAGAGGAGTGGAGAAGTGCCACCGCAGAAACTACAGGCTCTGCAAAGGGTCCTTCAGAGTGAGTTCTGTAATGCTGTAAGGGAGGTAAGTTCACTTCAAGGTACCTGGAGTTAAAAACAAATCATTACAGTTTCTTGTTTGTTTTTGGTTTAGTTTTTTTTTTTTTCCCCCTCTTTGCATGCAATATAATAATCTGGTTTTGTTCTTATTTAAAACTGAACTTAACTTGTAAAGCTTAATAGAATGTGGCATATTAAAAAGGTCAAAAGAAAACAAATGGGCATGACATGTCAGGTGTATTAAATAATGAATAAGAAAGAAATTGCTTTTTTATGTTATTTTTAGAGTCTATCCTTATTAGCAGTTTGCACACTGTTGCGCTGATGGCAAGTAAGAAGGGAAGAAGTATGAATTGCCTCTGCGTTTTTAAAAATGTTCTCAGGAATGGGCAGCACGGTAGCTGTGCGCCTCCTCATCTTCATCCTAGCTGCTCTTGCAGAGACTCTGGGTGATGGCTCATGCCCTGCAATGGTTTTGGCCTCTGATTCCACCTCAGGTGCTAACAGGAATGTTTGGCTGTCTGTATGTAGACGTGTTTAATGTTTGCCTCCTATCAAAGAGTAAACGTTTATTGCCTGGAAACCCAAGTGACTGCAGGTGGGCGCGAGTCGGCTCGCGGTGCCAGCAGCTCTGCAGCGTTGGTGTCCTTGCTGCCCCCCTGTTTTCATGCCGGGTTTCCCTCAGATGCTTGGTCAGCTGCAGCAGTCGAAGGAACAATGTATGGGCTGTATACTGAGCAATAAAGACCCAGAGAGAGCTTCTTTCATTTAGGTATGGTGGTTGTCACTTGATGCCCCTTGTAGTGGATCGGGAGTATTTTGCTTTTAGTAGAGGTCTAGGCTTTTTATGTTACCTGTTTAAGTTGAAACTGTTAGATTGTGATATGATCTAAGCAGAAGATGTCTGTTTTTCCTCATGCTTATACTGTTTTGTCTCTAAAGGTGTATGAACACGTTTATGAAACAGTGGACATCAGCAGTAGCCCAGAAGTTAGAGCTAATGCAACAGCAAAGGTAAAAGTTATGACATGAGAAAACGCTGTGTTCATTACCCTTCCTCTTGTTTCTGAAGTAACAAAATGCAGAAGGACTTGATCTAGTTGTCTGGTAAAATGCTGCAGTGTAATGCGTCATTACCAGGTATAACAAAACCTGTTATTTTTAGAGACTTCTGTTTTAACTTTATTCTTGCATTTTTATTTTGTTAGTCTCATTTGCCTAAAGTAATTTGAAATAGGGTATTTTTTGCTGTCTCTAGCCAAGGTTCTATATTCAATTTCTCATAAACATGAAAAACTTGTTTCTTGCAGGCCACTGTAGCTGCATTTGCTGCCAGCGAGGGCCATTCCCATCCCAGAGTGGTCGAACTGCCCAAAACCGAGGAAGGTCTTGGATTCAACATCATGGGAGGCAAAGAGCAGAATTCCCCCATCTACATCTCCCGGATCATCCCAGGCGGCATCGCTGACCGGCACGGAGGCCTGAAGCGGGGGGACCAGCTGCTTTCCGTGAACGGAGTGGTAGGAATTGGCTCTCCCTTTGCGTGGCAGTAACTGCTGCTTTCCACAGGAGGGCACACGGGGAACACGGACGCAGCCAGCTCGAGGTCTTTTACTCTGGGCAAAACTGTTGCTTTTTATCTCTATTTTTTTCCCTCCTCGCTTGTAAGAACAGCCTTAGGTTTCCACAGAGTTGTGTGTTGTAAGAATTCTTTTGAATAAGAATGCTGCAGTTGTCCGTGAGAAGCAGGAGAGTGCAATTTAGGTGACTATTTCAGATTCTGAGAGGTTGTATAAATCCAGTCAAAACACCGCTTTGAAATAGCGTTAAAATGCCCTAATGGCTTCTTTCATCCAAGCTGGATGCAGATTTTAATATACATTTCTGCAGCTTCTGAGGTAGTTAGTAAATTATGCTGTGTTGCTGTAGCGTGACCTGGGGTTCTTTGATATCCCAATAAAAATGCAGCTGCGCAGTGAAAGCTGTGCAAAGTCACAACCACAGGGTAGCGTTGTTTTTAGCTCTGTGATGATTCCACTTCAGTTTTTCAAAAACTGAAAAATTTTAGTTTATTTTAAGGAGTATGTTGTAAGTGCTGCTGTGAAATTTTATTTTTAATAAGGAATCAAAGGCTTTTAAATAAATAATTAGAGGCTGTACCTGACCTTTGGTTTAAGACAGCTGTTTGTCACGTACAAATAAATAGCGCTCCAACTTCAGGTGTTCTTTTCAGAAGCTCTTATTGTCTGTTAGCATAAGATTGATGTTCTCCACATCCAGAAAACCAATTTTATTTTAAAACTGAGGGTTAACCCAAGTCCTGTGCTCTTTGGAGCAAGATTTTTAGCATGCCAACCGCGTGCTTGTTGGGTGTTAACCTGCCAGCTAGCACCAACGGGTGACGTACCCGGCTTGGGACTGTGACCAGGTCTGTCCACCTTTTCCAGGAGATGCAGGAGACATCAAGGCCAACGTGATGCAACTGTCCTTAGTCTTGCCTGGGTGTTGCTTTGGAATGAATCAAGGGGCAAATTGAAGATGACCGTTGAATTTAAAATTCACGATGAAAGCAGAAAAGTAATAAGTGTTCTGAAATCACTGGTTCTTAAGTGTAATTGTTTTTTAGACATCTAGTCTCATATTCTCCTTATTTTACTTACTGTGTGTGAAAACATAATCTAATAATTCAGCATAAGGCTCATCCCAAAGATTTGCACTACTCTCATTACTGCCTTTTTTAGTCAGTTTAGTATTTTTTTTTTTTTTAGTCAGTATACTTGTTGTCACCTCTTCCTTAGTGATTTGCTGAATATAGGGACATACTTTAATGTTAGACTATATATAAGCTTTACAAAAAGAAAAAGTGAGCTTTGTTTTTAGTATGTATATCCTTTACTAATATGATGCTTAATGGTTTATCCTGTGCAGAGCGTTGAAGGTGAACACCATGAAAAAGCAGTAGAACTGCTGAAGGCTGCTCAAGGGAAGGTCAAGCTAGTTGTACGATACACACCGAAGGTTCTGGAAGAAATGGAGTCAAGATTTGAAAAAATGAGATCAGCAAAACGCAGGCAGCAAAACTAACTTCGTATGTAATAACTTAAAGAGGAAAACACATCCTGGTTACATTTTGTAGTTTGCTTTGTGACTCGGTTGATCTGCCTGGGATACAAAAAAGACTGCTCTTCTCAGAACTGCAGAGTTGTTGAGGTTGGAAGGGACCTCTGGAGATGGTCTGGTCCAAGTCCCTGCTCCAGGGAGGGTCAGCTAGAGCAGGCTGCTCAGGGCTGGTTTAGGTCAGGTCTGTTTGAGCAACCTGCTCCAGTGTTCAGCCACCCTCCCCGTAAAACACAAGTTCTTCATGTTTAAGCTTGGTTTCCTCTATTCCAGTTGGTATCTACTGCCTTGTGTCCTTTCAGTAGGTACCGCAAGACTCTGGCTCCTTCTTCTCTCTGCCCTTCCATAAAATATTGACTCGCAGAGCCTGCTCTTCTCCAGGCTGGACCGCAGCTGCTTTCAGAGCCTCTCCTCGTGTGCCAGACACTCCAGTTGCTGGCCCATGGTCAGGGTGCTCACCAGGACCCCCCTCCTTCGCTGCAAAGTTACTCTGCAGCCAGTCAGCCCCCAGCCTTCACTAGTGCCCAGGGCTTTTCTTCCCCAGGGTCAGGGCTTTGTCCTTCTCTTTGAACCTCATGAGGTTCTTCAGCCTGTCCTGAAGAGAGAGGGTCCCTCTGAGTGACATCCCAGTCACCCTTCCCACTTTAGTGTCATCTACAAACTTGTGACCTGCTCTGCCCCCTCCTGCGGGTCACTAGTGAAGATGCTGGGCACTGTTGGCCCCAGTATCGAGCCCTGGGGCACGTCACTAGTGAGTGGCACTTGGCTGGACTTCCTGGTCGTAACCCTTTAAACCTGGCAGTTCAGCCTCTTTCAAATGCTTTGTTTTCACTTTCCATGTGATTTTCACCATTTAAAAATGTGTCCTTTCACATTGGCCTAAGAATTCCTGAAAAAACTATGTATGTTGGCAGTGAGTTGATTTTTATAAATCTTTTTCAAGTCAAAACCTTTAAGCATGAAATGAACTTGCAGATTTTTTTTCCAAGACATTTAATAAGAGAGTTTTCTACAGTTGGCACCCTTTTCTTTACTCTCCTTTTGGCATTATTGAAAATTTAATCCACAGGTTTTTTTGCTAAATGGTTTTGGAAGCAAACATTATGTAGCAGGATTTTAGCACTTTTCTTAGAATGTGTTGTATATCAACTGCAAAAGCCTAATCGTGATCTACTGTGTAGCTGATAATGATACTAGATTTTGTAATTTTTGGTAAGTACATTATTTTTACACTTCTGCTAAATCATAACTCGTTACTCTGGAAATTTTATTACCTCACCTGTAAATACTTTACAATTGATGTTCATTTATAATGACTTTGTAATATCTGCCATTTACAAATTTGCAACAATCATTCCTGTAATTTATATTATTTTGTACTAATTTTGAAGCAGTTAAGGGAAAAATATAATTGTGATTGTAGTTCTGGATTGACTCTCCAAATGTATTTTTGTATTGAGGAAAAAAAAAACAAAATATGTCAATGCAGTGCAAAAGAATTCCAGATGTTTCCCCAACTTTGCTGTTTTTAAAAAACACATTAATTTTAATTGTCATAACTCTGTTGTGCTTTCAGTATGTTAAGTTGTATTCTTCCCTTGAAGAGTGACTCAAGTTGGTACCTAAATGACTGTTTTATTCGTAAGAGTAATAATTTCTAACATATGTGGTATGTAGAGGTACTCTGACGTTGGAACTTGCCTGGGATTTGTCACTGCCCTGCTCCTGATTTGGAGGGCTCTTGTTTTTCCTGCAGATGTAGCAGCATCTACGTGCACATGCAGCTTGATGCGTGGCGATGCTGTGAGGAGCGAGGGCATCTCCAAATCTAAGCAGTTCGTGTCCCACCCGTGTTCCGTGGAAGCAGTGCTGCTGCATGCCATCCTGAAGGAACTGTTTCTCTGGAAAATGGGACACTTCTGGGAATCTACCAGGTTTGGGGCTGTACTTGTAGTTTAAACAAAACGAAAGTCACCTTTTGGTGTAGATAGAGAATCAAGTTGCTTGTCTACCAGGTGTGACTTGCAAGGCAGCTATGACTGCATCCTAATGACTGTTATTAAGTTGATTCTTGGAGGCTTGTGCTGAAAAGTGCAGCTCTTACTACATGGTTAATCTCTCATCCCTCGGAGCGCAGCACTATGATGCAGCCCAAGTTTAATTCAGCAAAGCAATCGGACAGGATCGTTGCAGACAAGCAGTTGCTTTCTGCATGTTTGTAAGCATGGTGAGCCTGCTTACAAAGAGGGTGGGATTTTTCAAGATGCTGATAATCTGCAAATGCGATAGAGCTGTTCATCAGCTCAGCGACGTCGAGCACTGAATTGCATGGTTGGGAATCTGTCAGAGGCCTCTGCCAGAAGGCTTCGTGTTACTGATGGGACCATGTTGTTGAATTGTATATTTTTATGAAGTTTGAGGTATTGAGACCAAAATCACTAGTTAGACCAATCATGGGTGTGTTTTAATTTAATTGTAAGATAGTAGAGATTTGTTTTAGAGAGAGAGAAATATATATATATATATATATTAAAGAAATGTATGGGTACAAGATAGAAATATGTGTTTTAAGACCTGTATCCCTTATGCTACTGATGGAGAGTGATGTTTTTTGTTACTGAAAGGAAATATTTAATTTACTGCTAAATGCAGTGGCCTTCTCATTCTGAAATGTAGCATTTGGATACAGTTCGTCTGTCAGCTACTACAAAATGTGGGGAGCTCTGCCTGGATGGAAAGCTGTTGTACGCGTAGGATTTCACAAAAAGCTTCTAGATAGTTACAACAAATACTCCCAATAAAGAGAGAGCTCATTAAAAGTCCTATTTAATGCTCTGAAAAACCTTGTAATGTTAAGGAAATGATGGGTGAAAATGTCTTGGTCTGTTCCAAGAAACTCAACATCTTTTTTTACTACTGAGCAGTGCCTGTACTGTTTTAATACGCAGTCCCTCCACACTTGATGTACTGAGTATGTGAACAAGTTAGAGGTGTCATTTTTGCAGAAAGCCTCTGCATCTGTTGCTGCTGTGAGGGATCTCTGGGTTTTATCAACAGGGAAATAAAAGCTGAATTTCACACGTGTTGTTTGTGCTTTTGTTCCCCTCACTTTCCTTTCCTAAATATTCTCTTTCAGGCAGCTGTCATGGGGTGCCCCTAATCTCTAGGGCATAGCTGAACATTAGCAGTGAATGTGGCTGTGCAAAGAGGGTAATATCAAGTCTAGTTCTTATTTTGCTCTCAGCGCTTGCAGATGTTCCTTTTTCTATTGCTGTATCTTGCAACCAGTTGGAGATACTTCACAGCATTCTGATTTTCTCTTTGTATCCTCAATATCCCAAATCCTCCTGCATTTTTGGGACCTCCTAGGTCTCTGCTGCATGAGCTGCTGCATGTATATTTTTCTAGGTTGGTATTATGTTTTAATTGTTTAAAACAGGTGTCTCGATGAGATGTTGAATTTCTTTAACTCGGCTTGTCAACTCCTCAGGAAAATGCCTGTTCTGAAGTTAAGAACTGAGATGAAGCCAGGAGAAATGCTTGAGTTCTGAACCCAATTTTTTTTGAGCAAACACATAAGGTTATCAAATGTAAGTAGGCTAGACTGTGAATTGAAAACACATGCAAAGAATTTGTATGAATATTTGTTTTTTATTTAATGGCTGAGAGCATGTGAGCTGGAAAAGCAAGCACACTTAAAATTTGATTTTAAAATGAAATTATTTTTGATTTGGCTTATTGGATATTTGTATCCATGTTTCTAAATGCAGTTCATAGAGAAATTGTGAATTTTGATACAATGCTTATTGAAGAAATAAAAATCAAAGGCCCATTGAAGTTAATGGCATAAACAGACCATCAAACTGTTATAATTTAGGTCTTTTTAATTTGCAATTACAGATTTTGATTTTTGTTAACAGTTTTAAAAAAAAATGTGTGATGGAATGTGCCTTATTTCCAGCTTAAGATTTCAACTTTGATCTGGCAGTCAAGATCCAGACTGCAGCTGGAAGAGAGAGTTGCCAGAGCCTGGATCTTGTCTTAAACATGTATGGACTGAGCAAATCCAAACTCATTTAGGAACTGAGGAGCTGAAGCAGCCTTAATGGTTTCACTGCATTGCTGTGTTCTTTCATTCTGATCACTTACTGCAAAAACTGAGCCTGCGTTTGATGCTACAGACAGTTTTCATCCTAATTTTAAAACAAAAGCAGGGTCTTCCTGGAGGATGCAAGTCTGTGTGCAAGTCTCAAAAGGTAAGTGAAGGCACCTGTGTGGGGGCCTCATCTCATCGCAGCTCAGCTGCTCCCTTGCCTGGGCAGCACACAGGGGTTGTGTGAATAAAATCGAATGGGCTGTGGAGCTGGGGCAGCTGGTGGCACCCGAGGAGCTCGCGGGCCTCTTGCCTGCCTCAGGTGTGAGGAGGCTGAAGGTGGTGATTTATGGTGGTGCATGGATGGCAGCAGCGCCTGCAAGGCCCTGTTTTGAGTGGGGACCCCATTGTATTCCGCCGTGTACAAATTGTACAAATTCAGAACAAATAGTCTGGCTCCAGAGAGGCTCGATCCACTGCTAATAAATCATGTATTTAGCAACTGCTATTGTTAGTAAGGTAAGAACTTAAATAGAAGCATAAATGACACAAGACTTTTCTTGCACAGTTTTCCATGTGATTTCATCCCAGGCCAAAGTTTTTTTTTTCTTTTTTTTTTTCTCCTCCGAGGAGCACAGAAGTCAGTTTGCCCCCCACCTTGGGCTGATGATTTGGGGGACAAACCCCCAGTCTGGTGTTCGTGGTGCAACCTGCAGCTATCAGAGCTGCTGCTGGCAGCAGACATGTCCCACGGCTGCTTGCTGGTGAGGAGCAGGGTGTTTATTCAAGCGAAATAGCAAGAATAACTCTAATTAGGCAAGCAGAGTGCAGCTAATTAAGTGAGAAATGCAGAGGATAAAGGACTGCGGTCGCTTATGAAGAGCGGCATTTGGGTGGTCTTGGGCGTCTCGGTGCTCTGCTAAGCACCGCTGAACCTGCTTGCT